ACAAAAACAAACAAACAAACAAACAAAGCAAAATCCAACAAAACCACAAAACTAAATAGTTAGTTAAATAGATTAAATAGTTTCTTATCTATGTCCCTGTAACCTCCCAAAACTCAATGTTTTATCAAATGAGATTTGAAAGAGAGAAAACTTGTTTTAAAAATCTTTATCAGTGCCCTATCTGGGGCTTTGGTGGCTTGGCTGAGACACGTGGTAAGTAGGAGAGGTTCTGGCGGATCCATATGATTTAGACTGACATGTAAATTGGGCTTATAACATGCAGAAGCATGTAGGAGGGCATGAGAAGAGAGGAATGCCAATGACGGGAACTATTTAAGGTCACTCAAAAGTGAATGTAGCAAAGTAAGTGTTGACCCAGGGTTCCTAGGGTCTGTGTGGGGAGGGGAGGCGATGTTTAGAAAGCTAGATACTGGCCTAATGAGCTGCTGGAAGGCTTCATATCCTTAGCAACAGCTCCTCAGGGTGGAAGCCAGAGCCATACAGGTGAAAAAGACCGCTCTTGTTCTAGAGGTGGACAGTACACAGCAGAGTATGATGCATTCAGAGGACAGATCCTGTGTAATGAAGTGTGTCAGGGTGGTGGTAGGGTCCAGCGTTGGTTATCCAGACCAAGAGCCTTTCTGCAGCGAAGGTTAGTCAGTGTACCGCCTGCAATCTGGCAGACTCAGGGAGCGGTGCCAGCAGTGTGCATCACAGGACACAGCAGGGTTTGTTTCCAGAGGCCATGGGCCAGAATGAGGAGCATAGGCAGATCTTCCCTGGTCTGTCTGGGCGTGAGGACTTGAGCAGGAGTCCTATGGCCATCTCCCAGGATGCAACGGCCAGGTTCATGGATAATGACTGGATTGTAGAGTGCTAAATGGGGTCCATCCTTGCAGCCGTGCCCAATATTGCTGTCCTGACAGAACAGCTGACGTGAGCGATGAGCCGTTTTCACAGTATATTTGAGTGGGGCAACATTTTTGTTTTAACTTTCTTTAATTAAAAATTTGAGATAGTGTAGGAAGAAATGGATTTCTGCGATGCCATTTCCATGCACAAGTCACTTTGCTGTGATTCACTTCCTCAAACAGCTGTTCCTTCTGCTTTCACGGCTTATGATTACCAGGATCCTCTTTTACCTCTTTCTTTCAGGAGTGTACGCACGCACGCACGCACGCACGCACGCACGCACGCACGCATGCGCACACGCTTTAAATCTAGTTACTTCCTATGAGAGAAAGCATGTAGCATTTTTCTTCTTGAATCTGACTTATTTCACTTAATGTAATGATCTCCACCTGAATGTTCCCCTGCAGATATCATGATTTCATTTTTCTTTAGAACTAAAGGAAGTTTCTTGTACATACGTTCCACGTTTTCTTTATTCATTCATTTGTCAATAGACATTGAGGCTGGTCCTATTTCTTAGCTATTGTGGATAGTGGGTGCTTACAGTGTAGCTGAGTCAAATTGCAGTTGTACTCTTGGTTTATTGAGGAACTCCATGCTGCTTCTGAAGTGACTACACCAGGTTACACGTCCACCAGCTGTGGGTGAGGATCCTTCCTCCCCACATCTTGCCAGTACCTGTTGTCATTTGTTTTCTTCACAAGAGTCATTCTGACTGGGCAGAATGGAATCTGAAATTACTTTTAATTTGCATTTCACTGATGGCTAAGAATGTTGAAGACTCTTGAAGTATTTATTTGCCACTTGTTTGAGGGCTGTCATTGGTTCTCTTTATTGATTTAAGTTTTTGCCACTTATATTTTGCAGTTCTTTATGTATCCTGGGTATCGGTCTCCAGTGTGAAGTGTAATTGGTGGAACTTTTTCTTAGATGTAGGCTACCTTTTTACTCTAGGACAGCGGTTTTCTACCTGTGGGTCATGACTCCTTGGTGGAGGGCGGTTCATACCAGATATCCTGCATACCAGATATTTACATTACAATTCATAACAGCACAATTACAGTTATAAAGTAGAAAATAATTTTATGGTTGGGGGTCACCACAACATGAAGAAGTGTGTTAAAGGGTCACAGGATTTGGAAGGTTGAGAACAGCTGCTCCAGTGGCTGTTTTATTTGCTGGGCAAAGGCTTTGTGTAATCTCAGGTATCAATCCTTGGGACTATTTCCTGTGCTATTAACTTCTTCTCAGAAAATACTTACCTATGCCCTAACTTTAAGGAATTTGACTGTTTTTTCTAGAAATTTCAAAGCTTCTGGTCTTATGCTGAGGTCTTTGCTACATTTGAATAGATTCTTGTGTAGGGAAAAGAGACACAGGCTTAGTTTCTCATTCTTCTGTACGTGAACAGAAGAGTATCATCCGTTGAAGACGCTGGCTCCCCACTCCCTTTTTCATGTATTTCTTTTTTGACAGATTTGTCAAAATTAGGTGTCTGTAGTTGTGTGAGTTTCTTTCTGGATCCTTTATTCCACCCATCTCCAGCTCTTTGCAGGGAGGGCAGTACCAGATGGTTTTTGTTACTTTGCCTCTGTGACTTAAGGTGATTTGAATCCCTTCAGCATTGCTTTCCCTGTAATTTCATTAGCTATTGGTCTTCTGTGTGTTTATACGAGTTTTAGGATTGTGTTCCCTAGTTTTGAGAAGAATGGAATGTAAATGGAGATTGTGTTGAACCTGTAGCTTCTGGCAATGTAGATATTTTCACAATATTAATCTTGACAATGTACGTGGGAGTTCTTGCCATCTTGTTGATTCTTCAACTTCATTCTTCAGTGTTTTAAAATTTTTATTGCATGACTCTTTCACTTCCTTGGTTATGTTTATTTTTTGTATGTGTTGTGTGTGTAGTTATATGTGTGTGCACCCCAGCCCCAGTATAGATCAAGGCCAGAAGAGGATATGGGTGTTTCAACCTTCTTCCCTTGAGGCAGGGTCTCTCAGAACCTGCAGCTAGGCTGGCAGCCAGCAAGCTTAGTGATCCTCTTGTCTTCTCCACTACTCTGGGGCTATATGTATGCACAAAGCCATACCAGGGTTTTTACATGGGTGCTAGGGATTTGAACTCAGGTCCCTGTGCTTGCTCAGCAAGTGTTGTTACTGCTGAGAAATCTCCCAAGGGGAATCCTCCTGACATTTTGTTTGTTTGTTTTGTTTTTGTCACTGAGGATACTTTGACCTCTTTCTTATTTTGTATCTCTTTTATTTCTTGTCTTATTCTTCTCAATAAACAGTGGTGAGAATAGGTATCTTGTCTCATTCTTTATTTTAGAGAAACTACTTTTAGTTTCCCCCACTTAATGTTGGCTAAAGGATTGAATAGATGGTGTTTCTTATGTTATCATGTGTTTCTTCTGTTTCTTGGTTCATGAGAGCTTTTACCACGAACAGATATGGAGTTTTGTCAAAGACTTTTTACCACATGGTTCCTGTCCTTATTTCTATCTTTGTGTTATATTATATTCACTAATTTATGTGTGTTGGACCAGCCTTTCATCCCTGGGACGAAACCACATTGCTATAGTATATGATGTTCTTAGTGTGTTTGTGAACTTAATTTGCCAGTATTTTACTGAGAATTTTGCTGTCAAGTTTCATCAGGGAAATTGGTCCATTGGTTTGGTTGTTGTTCTCTTGTCTGTGTTCTAAGCTAGTTTTGATATAAAGATGATGCTGACTTTGCAGAACGTGTAGGTAGGGTGCCTTCCCTTTTTATTTTGGGGTACAGTTTCAAGAGTATTGGTATTAGATCCTTTTTTAATGATTGGGTAGAATTTCTCAGTGGATGTGTCCAGTCTTGAGCTTTTTTTTTTTTTTGAGGGGAACTTTTTATTAAAACTTCAATTGTGTTGCCCATAATAAATATGCATAAGTGTTTGTATCTTTTAACAGGTCATATGCTTCAGAAATAGATGCATTTCTTCCATATTTTCTAGATTTTTAATGTAAGTTTGCAAAATATGATTTGGATTCCACTGCAATCAGTTGTAACAACCCCCCTTCATCTCTAATATTATAAGGGTCTTTTTTCCTCGTGTTACTTAGTTGAGCTAGGAGTTTATCATTTTTATTTTTTCAATGAAGCAGCTCTTTGCTTGATTCTAAGCATTATTTTTTTTAGTCTTTATGTAACTAAATTTCTTCCCTGAATCTTATTTCTTAGCATCTATTGCTTTTGTTTTTTTCCCTTAGGACCTCAAGGTGCATCCTTAGGTTATTTATCTGAGATCTGACTTTTTTTTCTTAATGTGAACTCATATAGCAATAAACATTCCTCTGAGACAAGATGGCCTGTCTTTTGTCGCCAGAACTGGGTGGCTTACGTTTTGGATGACACTTCCTCTGGGAAGCTGTGCTGGCTAGTTTTATGTCGATGTGACATAAACTAGAGTCATCAGAGAGAGGAAGCTCAATTGAGAAAAAGCTTCCATTAAGACTGGGCTGTAGGCAAACCTTGGGGAAATTTTAATAGTGATTGATGGGGAGAAATCCACTCACTGTGGGTGGAGCCATCCCTGGGCTGGTGGTCTTGGACTCTATATGAAAGCAGGCTGAGCAAACCGTGAAAAATAAGCCCATAAGCAGCACCCTCCATGGGCTCTGCACCAGCTCCTGCCTCCAGGATCCTGTCCTGCTTGAGTTCCTGTCCTCACTGCTTTTGATGAGGAACTTTATAGGAAACTGAAATAAACCCTTTCCTCTTCAAGTTGCTTTTGGTCATGGTGTTTAGCCACTGCAATAGTGACCTTAACTAGGACAGACGCCATGTTTGGAGCTGTGTTCAGCTTGGACTCTTCTCCACGTGTTGTATTTTTCTTAGCCCATTCCAGCCATTTCATCACCGCTGTTGTGAATTTCTCAAGATCTTGTTCTGTCTCTTTGAAACAGACTCTAACCTCATACTAACTCTTCTCCATAGCCGAGTTACACACCAAGGCTCAGAGCAAATCAAGACCTACTTTTATGTCATTAAAAAGTTGATATCCTCATAATTTCACTTGGCCTTCATTGGAGATAAGGAAACCAACTATTATTTTATTTTACTTTTATTTATTAATAGTAACAAAAATCAGAAATAACAAAAACAAGTTAAATGGAATACGGAAGCACAGTAAATACAAATGCATTTTCATAACCTCATGGGAACAGAAACCTGTTGAAACTGTTTTCTGAAGTTTAGCTATTTAGGTCATCAGAGTAACCAGGGGCATTCAGAGGGCTTGCACGGCCTTGGTTGCTGATGGAGGAGCCTGCTTCCCCAAGACTGACAGTAGTATCCAGAGAGTCCTGGTATATGTATATGGAAAGACTTTCCTGGGTCCTGGCTCTTAAGAGACATTGATGTTAATAAAACAAAACAAAACACAAAACAAAACCACAGAGCAAGCCCAGGGAACTTGCAGTCTTGCCCTAAAGGCTTCTAGAGGACTCTAGGAACTGAAGTAGATGTAATCCTGTTTCTTGGTCCCATGCAAATCTCAACCCAAGTCTTCCCAGGCTACTTAGCAGCTTTCATGAATGGTTCAAGGATCTCCTGAATCTATGGTTGTTCAGACAACATCTGCCTTAGTTACACAGAAGTAGCAGAACTCGAGAGGAATGTGTGCTTGCTCTTGGGTACTCAAGTGTTACAGGGTGGGATAGTCTTGGTTGAAACCACTGTTCTAAAGACGACTAGCCAACAGACACTGTAGCTACTTGAACAAATTGATATACCTGCCCTCTCTTATCATGTCCAAGAACTAGCAAAACTTTTGATGAAGGCATTGCTGCTGTGAGCTCCCCAAGGCTCTTGGAGAGGGAGTAGAAATCTGGACTGCAGAAGTGGGGCTCAGAGTTTTTGAAAGGGATAGCACAGAATTCTCAGCAACAGGGAAAACTAAGAGGAATTCCACTTCCATCTCATTATCCCGCACCTGCCTGTGCAGGAACAGCTCCATAGTTTATCTGGACAGGTCTAGAGTTTGAATTTTGCAAATGAGATAAGGTTTTGATTTTTTTCTATGTTAAATGCACATAAAACAGGACAAGAAAGGAGTTTGAGAATCAGAGGCCCAAAGAAAGAATTGACTCTCAATAACAGTTTCTCTTCCAGCGCTGAGTTAAAACTCAATCCAGATTCAATCTCCAGTTCTAACCACTCTCAAATCTGAAAACTTTTATCAACATCTGTATGGGGAAACCTCTGACTCCATCCTGAGATGGCACTCATGTGCACCATTGCTAAGGAAGCTGCGAGTTGTCCTTCCTACTCTCTCCCTGGGCAGAGTGACCATGAATCCTCACACCCAGCCACCTGCTAGGATTATTTCAACCAAAGCAAAACCTGGCCAATCTGTTCCTGGCTGTCTTCTTATTGTATGGCTTCATCTGTCCTAAGAAGGTAGCTAATCACAGGACCCTAGCTCCCTCTGGATCAGTTGCCTAAACCACAAACTACCATATATTAAATCCCAAGATGCATTCCTATCAGTTCACTAAGGAAACTGACAGCCAGAAACAGGAGCAGCTAGGACCGCAGTCGCTCTCTCTGACAGTCAGCCACAGATCACAGCAGGCTGGCGGGCTGGCAGGCTGGCAGGCTGGGGGCAGCCTGAGCTTCCATCCTTGAAACTCCTTATAAGAAACAAAACCAAATTAACTTTTTGGATCTCAACAACTGTCTATGAAGATCTGTCTGAGGGAAGTCTTGTGCTCCGTGGTATGTAGCCGATCTTTGGAAAGCCCTGGATGTAGCTCCGGACTGCATCCAGTCTAATATGTGCAGGCTAAGGGGCCATTTGTGTTACAGAGTTCCCTGTACCTGGAAAAACGCCCAAACTCCTCTCATCTTCACTTCTGAAATAGTAGGACTAATGAAAAAAATAATTACAAAAGCTTAATATCTAGTAAAAAATGAAATATTAAAAAAAACAACAATAATATAACGGTAATAACTGAGGAATGAAGTCAGCTTGCAAAAAAAATGTCTTTTACAGAGAAATAGCACCTTTGGTAAAAAAAAGAAAAAATGTATTTTAAAATTTTGGTTGGGTCTCCATGGCGCTTGAAGTACATGAGCATCTGCATCATTTAACCCCTCCCCCCGGAAACTCCATCCAAGTCTGAGGGACACAGGTAACTAGTGGGGCGGCTGTGCATTCAGGTGACTGTTGGGACCAAAAGGAGAAGCATATTTGCTGTAGGTCTGTCATGTTGACAGTGGTGACAAGGGTCAAAGCGGCAGGGTTTCTCCCCACAAAGCTCCCCCCCGACTTCCTCCAGCATGGCTAGCTCAGAGTCCCCCCGACATGCTTTTCTTGAAGCCTCCTTGCCGCTGCTGTGACCCCAGAAAGGCTTCACTCAGGCCTGCCTCTGCTTCCCTCCCAGCCTGATGCTGTTTCCTTATTTGCCTTCTGCCCCAAGGTACCCTTTAGTTTCTCTTAAAGCATTCCTAGAAATGGAGGCTGTAGCCTTCCCTCGCTAGCCGGCCACCCTCATTTCCTTTATTGCAAAACAAACAAAATAAGATTTGCTGCCATACAAGCAAATACTGTTGATTTGGTGATTGCTGCAGACTCTGTGGATACTGGGCTCAGCACTGAAGAGGAGGTGCTGGGCTCCAGACACGGTGCTATGGGCCTCTTCTTAGATCTCTTTGGTGTTTACCTTCTTGGCCTTTTCCGCTGTTCCCTTTGAGATGTAAGAGGATATAATCATTACAAAGATATTAAAAGGTTTATTATACCAAGACTTTCCATAGCATCAATAGACATGCGATTATGCTACATTTTAGTTGTTTATGTGTATGGTCCTCCTTGAGTAAGAAAGATGAGGTCATGTCAACTTGTGGCATGGTCATTTAGAATAGTCTATGGAATCACCAGCTCACCTTGTATGAACATCTTATGAATCAGATAATATTGTCCCAGTTTTAAGGATTAAAGGGTACTAAAGGGAATGTGTTCTGAATCCAAGCCCCACAGATGTAGTAAAGGCAATGGGTATTCGAGGCCCATTTGTTTGGGCCTGAACTTATTCAGCATTCCTAGTGCCCTTGAGAATATTTTGAAGTCGACATCTTAATGTCTTCAACTGTAAAAGGATAGCAAATCTATACTGGGTCTTACAACGGGGCCCAGCACATTCTTCCATAGATGTACAGATAGCCAACAAGGGCTTAACACCATTAGATGTTAGAGGGGCGTAAATGAAAACACATGTTCGGATGAAATAAAGAACAATAGTAACACATGCTGGCATGGATGTAAAGAAAACGGAGACCTGTTGGGGAAGATGTATAACGAACGGTGTTTGGAAAGCAGTCTGGCAACCTCACAGGGATTAAACACAGAGTTATCTTATGGTCCAGTTTCTATTCCTAAATATATAGGGGGAATGAAAACATGTCCACACAGGAACTTGTACAATAATGTTCACACCAGCGTCATTCATCAGAGTCCGGTCATCTAAATACCCATCACGTATTGAATACATACACAAACTATCACATATATGGAATGGCATTCACATAAAGAGGAGTGAAGTAGATTCATACTATAAGCATGAACCTGCAGAGCATTATGCTAAGTGGAAGAAGTCAGACAGAAAAGGGTCATTCTCTATGATGCATCCAGACCAGGGACCCCTCTAATGTCTAATGGTGTTAAGCCCTTGTTGGCTATCTGTACATCTTTGGAGGAATGTGTTGGGCCTTGTTGTAAGACCTGGTGTAGTATTTCTCTCATGTTACAGTTGAAGTCGTTAAGATGAAGACTTCAAAGGACAGTTGAATAGTCAAGTTCAAGCCTGCCAGCGTGCCTCTGGGACCTATTGTTTTTAAAGCTTCTGTGGGTATAGATTCAGAGTCTGGAAACAGATTAGCAACTGTCAGAGGCAGAGGACAAGGAAAATGAGGAATAATTTCTAATGTGATGGGTTTTTCTGGGGAGGTTAAAATTCTCCGGAGTTGACTGTGGGGAGTAGCTGACGAACTTAGGAATGCATTGAGAGTCACTCACTTGTGGAGTTGCATATTTAATTTTATTAATTGTTATTTAGTATTAGTGCATAATATTAATTTAATTAATATTTTTTGGGGGGGTTCTTTGAGACAGGGTTTCTCTGTGTAACCCTGGCTGTCCTGGAACTCACTCTGTAGACTCAGAGATCCATCTGCCTCTCCCTCCTCTCCCCTAGAGTGCTGGGATTAAAGGTGTGTGCCACCACCAACTGGCCAAACTTGCACACTTGAAAGGGGTAAATTTTATGACATGTGAATTCTACTCCAATTTAAAAACTGAGTTAGAAAACTACTGACAACCATGGCTGGCATCTATGAGACACGGTTGGTACTCCATGTCCAGCTGCATCGCACTGAACATGTCTCAGTGAACACCAGCTTGATGTCTTACTGCCTGTACTGCTTCGAGTTTCTCTGATCTTAGGAGTCTATTCTGCTCACACATGTTAGAGGACAGAAATGCTAAGAGTCGTTCCTGGTAGCTGCTCTTAGGTGATGGCTGATAGGTTTTCTAGAGGTACCTCAGCCCCTCCCACCCCATCACAGCAACTCCTTCAGGAAGGGTCTGTATCACAGTTTGATGGTATAGGTGAGGTAGCACCATCTGGGGTCTCCTGTGTTGAACGAAGTGAGTTTCCCTCATCTCTTGGGGCACTAGATGGCTTCTCAGTGGTGTTAAGAGTCTGGCTTGAACCAGCACTGTGATTGTCACTCACCTGGTGCTTCTGGAGTTCCTGGGCATATCTAGTCATCTCCTCCTCTGTGTGGGTCTGGACCCCCTTCTGATTCTTTCCTGTAAGAAGAATCAAAGTTCAGAGCAGGGGGTCTGTGCTAAGCCAGAAAAGACACTACCTAACAGACTCTCTATTCACTCTGTGGAGGGAGACTTGAACTGCCCACCTTTCTCTGACTATTACAACATCCAAGGTAATAGAGACAAGAAATCTATCCTAATTTTTGGCTTCTGTTCCTGCTATTTTCTTCAATAATGCATACCCACAAGACATGCTAGTCCTACAGAAAAGTAATGGCGTCAACCGGGTCCAGGCCAGGAAATTCCTCTGGGGCAGTGATTCTCAGCCATTCCTACACCCTCACGATGTCCCAGAGAACATTTGCAAATGTAATTTCTGGCTCAGGATGTAGTTCACTGGCAGAGTGTTTGCCCAGCATGCAAATCGTGTCCCCATGCCCATGCTCAACTCACTAGAACTGCAAAACAAAGAGAAGATAAATTCAAATCGCCTGGCTTTCCCCTGTAGGGATTTTGATGTAATTGGGGTGGGAGGTAGCTGGGTACCAGAGGTTTTACTTTTGGAAGAGTTCTCTAGGTCATTCTAGACACCCAGGGTTGATCACTATAACATCTGACAAATATTTCTCAAGTACAACAATAAAAAAAAAACGGTAAAAATAAACAAAACAAAAACCCAAACAAATGACCTAACAAAACCAAATCCTTCACAGATCCTCAAGATGTTCCTTTGTTAGATTATGATCTAGAAGGTTTGGAAGGGTGCCTGGGACTCCATTTACTGAACACAATATTACCATTAGGAAACAGCAGGCATGGATAATCAATCTGTCCCTCAAAGCAACTTCTCATGGCCCTGGTTCCTTTGGGCATTATCACAATACCCCTGTTTATATCTTTGAGATTTTTGATCTAAGATAGTTCTGCTAGTTTTCTGGTACTGGCCTGAAAATACATTTTCAGTCTCCTCTTACATCACACAGCCTGGACACCAAGATGCTACATAGACTTGTCTTTTCTGGGAGGAGAGCATGCAGCTCTCAGTGTGCCTATGGCAATGGACAGAATCTCATGGGATTAAATTCTGTTTGATGCACTGTGATTGGACTTATCCAGATGATGGTGTTTAGGGTTCCATAAGTCAGTGTACACTGACTCCTCACAAAGCCAGAACAAGAACAGTTAGCTATATGGAAAGGAATTTGGGGAAGACAAACTGAGAATGTTGAGGCAGGTGGGGTTGCTGTTTAAAGATGCCCTTGAATGGCTTCAATGTGTGTGCATCTGGCTATCTGTTCCAGTAACTTCTAGAAAATTCTTGTCTCTAAACAGTATCTTCTGTTTTTTCATCTGTCCCTGTGGTTAGGCTGGGACATGGTGAAGCAGACATGGTCCTAGGAAGGTTACTGAATTTATGGATAACACTGCCTTCCATTTACACGTTGGTATTCTGGGCTCCTTGGCTAACATGCTTTCCTGGGTCATTGATTACTGTCTCTTAGTCATCATCTTATCGGTCTCCTTGAACATAATAGTATGTACCAACTTTTTCTTGCTCCAGTTAACTTATTAAAATATAAACTCGGGGTCACTCCTGTAGGTATAACTTTTAAGTCTGGTTCTAATTGACATGGGTGTGATTTCTATTCTGGACACGGCTTTAAGACTGTTCTCTGATTTGCTTTCATCTGGGTCATTGCTTGAGCCTGGCTTTGATATAAATCCCCTCTTGATCTCTGGCATTACTGTAGTAGAGGTCTCTGATGGGACACAAGTGATTCTAACTTACTCTTTGACCTCCACTTTGACTCCCAAACTCCGACACCTATATGTCCTCAATCCATCTTGCCGGTGTCTCAAAGATCTTAATTTTTAATTTTTTCAATTTTTTTATGTTTTTGTTTATTTTTTCCTACATGGTATGGCAAGTTAAGTCATCTTGACCTCTGACCAGCTGACTCTTTAATATACAGAATTTCCTTAAATGTCATAATGATTAAGTTGGTTAGGATACAAAGACCTTGGAAGATCACTGGTACGCATTTCTCACACATCAGTGTTTTCTTTCATGATGATGGTTTCAGTTTCTTACTGCTATTTATTCATGCTGTGGGGGTCACCCTTCTGTAGCTGGATATTTATTCTGCTACATTATATTTCAGTGGGGCTTGGTGATTAGGCAGTAGAAGAGGAGGTGGAGCTGGGAGAAGAGGAAAGGAAGGGAAGAGAGAAAAAGAGGAAGGGGAGGGGAGAAAGAGGGGAAGGGGAGGAGAAGGAGGAGGTTATGGACCATGGAGAACCATAGACGGGTCAAAAGCGGTCCTGGGTAGCAACTTCTATCAAAAGGTTAGATACTGGGTAACAACTCTAGTTGTGTGGGCATCTTGTTAATTGATTATTTCTAAATATATAAATCTTTTAGATGATCATTAAGCTTTAAGAGTCTCATTTGTACTGGGCGGGTACTGCGAGGATGCCAGATATTGTCTGGGGTTCAGCCGAGCTTTGTGGATGCAGCATGGTGGATTGGCAGAGCCATCCCCCATGCTGGCATCTTGTGGGTGCCAGGGCTTGCACATCTAGCTAGCTGAAGCCCCAGTTAGAGCCGAGGAGCAGTGGGAACAAGTTGGACCGGGTGCCGTTTTCTAAATATCACCAGTTATACCCTTCTCTCTCATTTGAGGCCTCTGGAGTGATTTTCACACCTGACATACCTGGAACAAGCACTTTACACACAGTGCTCCCCTGGGAGCTGTGGGTTAACCACTTACTTCCAGTTCCTGGCTTCTCTTTTCCTCATCATACCCCTGTCACTTTCTGTCATTCAAGTCACAGTGCTACTTGCTCCTTCTGCACTAAATATGACTCACCATCACAGGTCATTGCTGTGCAGACCCAGTGTCCACAGGAACAGACACAGCGATTGCAGTCCACCTCGGTCTCAGCTCCATCTGCATAGGTTTCGTCCTCCAGGGCGCACTCTGTTGGACCATAAACAAAGACAACAGTTAGGACATGAGATTTGAGTGGGGTGGTATCTTTGATACAATCTGGGCACTTGCATGTCCCCCTTCTCAGACAAGAACAGCCTTGTCTCTTGTGGGCAAATGCCCTATAAGTTTATGGCCTCAACTTCATCATGGAGATGATGGGCTGGTGACAGCCCAGTTTTATGGATGGGGGCTAGATCAATTATCTCTGCAGAGTTCTACCAGTCTTTCTTTCCTTGCAATGCTTCCATCCCCAACAACACTCAGTTTCTAGACTGGACATACTCTTCTCAGGAGGGTTAAAGGATGGGTTGAGACACTTGAGGAACTCTTGGAAGCTGAGTTTCCAGTCAGCATTCTCATCAGACAGTTCAATGAGGGCATCGACACAGAGGCCTCTGAAATGAAACACAGGAGAAATGCTATCAGCAAGGCCTTGGCTTCTCCCCTAAGAAAGGAAGAAAGCATCAGGCTCACAGACACCAGGAGCCCCAGGCAAAATGACTGTATACTGAAAACACTTCTCTCCTCTTTGACCTGTCACACTATGACCCAATAACTCCTATAAACCTCCAACCTTCAGCTTACTAAGCTGAGTTCCAAATCACTTAGGTAGTTCATATGCGTCCCCAATGACAACTAAGGGCTTGTGAATGATTTTGTCCACCTTGATTAATAAATGCTCCCACCATTTGCATACCTTCCCCTAGTGTAAATTGTCATCTGTGTTATGACTCTCAAGTCAACTATTCCAGAAGAGAGATGACATCAGAAGAGAGATGACAGATGACATGAAAAGGAATATAGGACTTGGAAGAATATAGTGGGTTGGTCTGGGTGAGGCTTGTATTCAAATGCTAGATATTGGCTTCCAATATCTGGTTGGCCCTGAGGAGGAGATCTACACATATACCAGCTTTTGTTGGTAAACCTTGTCCCCCAGGTTATTCCTGATTGGTTAATAAAGATGCCTACAGCATGGGCTAGGCAGAAGAGAAGGAGGTGGAGCAAAGGTTCACAGGCTTGGGGTTGGAGGAGAGATGAGAAAGAAGAGGAGGAAGAAGGAAGGGAGTCACCATGGAGTAGTTGGGTGGTGAGCTCAAGGCCATGAGGGCTGGCCTGTTGGAGTAGAAGCGGCCCGGCAGGACATGGTAAGTGATATCTTGGAGATATTGACAGGGAAACAGACAGAATAGTGTAGAGGGCTGATATCTTCCCAGCTCTAGTGTTTTACGCTTATTATAAATCTAAAAACTCTGTCTTTTTATTTGGGAATTATATGGTCTAAGTGGGGTAGAAACCTTAATAGATATTTAAAAACAACAAGGGGGCATAGCAAACCCCCAAAATAATATTTATGCCAACAAAAGAATATTAAATTTAAACAAGAGTCACCACATCACCATTTAGGGAGTTCATTCAGAAGTTTTATTGAGCCTCCTCAGCTCTGTCACCCACTCTGTTGCCTAAGACTTGGGCCCTGGCTCGGCCACTTTCTACTCAATTGTCCTGAACTGGTTATTCAATCTTTCTGAGTTTATTTTCCATAAAGTCAAGGACTATGGCTCAGAAGAATCACAAAGCTGCACTTTGAACTTGTGAACAAAAGAGAGGCACCTTTCCCACATTTAATTCTTACCGATGTAGCAGCTCCAAACCAGAAGCTTCTTTGTTTATTAATATTTTTTTAAGAATGTCCTTAAGAGAAGGACATACACTCATGACAATTAGGGAAACCTACATGGAACAGCTCGGATCATCTTAAACACCAGGAATAGAATGATTTAGGTCTACAACTAGAGAACATATTAACAGTTCCTTCAAAAGATCAGCAATAGAACGACCAGAAGCAATGGAGGTATGATACTTTCTTCTAAAATTACATTCTTTTTTCCTTGCAAGTTCTGACCCCAAACTGCAACTGCCTGAACAGAAATCAATGTGGCTTGATAATTCCAGTTTTGTAATGTTCACAGAATACATCCGAACAGAAATCTCACTTTTCTGTTTCTTTCACATTGGCCCTGGCAGTACCTTTGCTGATGGAAGGGGTTCAAATCTCACCTCCTCTCAGGGAGCCTTCCCTGGGGACCGTACACCCAAGCACCCACTCCTCACCTGAGCAGTTTGTTGTTCTCCTGATCGGCATAAGTGGTGATGTTGATGGCCGTTTCGTTCTGCTCCACGAATTTTAGGAATTCACTGGAGTCCAGGTGAGAGTCACCATTATCAAAGCTCTAGAGAGAGATAAAGAGACCTCTCAGGAGTGTTTAGACAGCCCTAGTTTTATTGATGCATCCTCTGGCCTGACCCCTCAGTTCATCTTACTCTTAACACATTCCAACCCTATCCTAACCTGGCCACAAGGTCCCTCAGTAGTAATGGTTCAAATCACTGGACACCCCAACTAGGAAGTAGTACTCCAAGATGAGCACGTGAAAGTGCCTGGACAGAAGCCACGGGGGAAGGGGTCCTTTCAGTATGAATCCTGCTCAGAAGGGCAGCCTGCACAGATGTCTGACCTGACACTATCCTATAGACCTGATCATTATTAAAGTCAGTCTCACACCCTAGTGAACACAGAGCAAGGTGTGGCGTTATAAGCAGTAACTTAGAATCTGGGAGGTGAAGCCCAGGGTGTCTGATTCTAATAGGCTGCTCAGGGTCAATAGCAGTGCAAATGACCTTCCAAGTTCTCTTTGGGACTCACAGAAGTCTATCTTGCTGTTTAAGACCAGCCTTTCCCCTCCACCCTCCACTGGGGCCCCAGTGCAGATGTGTGCTCAGGTCCTCAGGCCACACTTCGGGCAGATGACCTGTTGATACCCCAGGAACACAACTGAACAGGGACTGGTCAGGTCAAGCATTATTCACTCTAAATCAAGATGCTAAACCAAGTTGTCAGCCATCGGCAACTACTCAAGATGCCTAAGTCCTGGCAACAAGAGGCATCAGTTCGAAGGTTTAGGTCAAATTCCATGTTGGAGGCAGCTGCTCTCTTAACTAGGTCCAGTGGTAGCCCTCGTTCCCTACACTGTCCAACGGCTGTGCTGGGACATGATCAGCATCTCAATGTTACTTTCAAGTTGGTTCCTTACACTATGAAAGAGAGTCTGGAAGAAATGTCTACCTAGACTCCCAGGCAAGGATGAAACAGCCATTTTTTCTCCTCATGGCTGCCATGGGTCACATGCTGTATAATTTCCATGGCATATACAGTGAGGAAACCCATGAAAGAACCATTAAGTCTTTGCTTAGATCTTGCCTATCATTCTTGTCCTGATCCTCAGAGAAAGCAATGGTCCTGCAGTAGCTGCACAGCCGTGGACTGGGCGCTCTGGACATAGCACTTACAGTCCACTGGGCTCTTAAAAGTCAATGCTTTATGTACACGCTTCAACTATCAGAGAACCAGAACGCAGGTCTAGAACTAAGGATGCCTAACAGGGCATCCCAGCTCTTAGCTGTCTCACCTCATAAGTCTGGTGCCTGCCCAGAAATAGCATTAAACCCAGTGGCATTTCAATGTTTGGCCAGAATCCAGCATAATTCACTCAACTAACCAGTTGTAAAGGCCCGATACTTCTGCATGGCCATATCTGTAGCTCTATTTCTGAGACAGTAACATTTCCCTTTTTGGTTTTATGACTATAGAAAGGAAGGAAGATGAGTGTTTGAACCATCGTATTTCTCATGCTTGGGAACCATCCTTGTAGGTTAATGTTGTGTTCAGAGGGGATGGGTTGAGCCCGGCGCTCACTCACATGAAGCAGCAGAGGCAGTGGAGTGTATGGTGCTAGGTGTCGGGAGATGGGAAGGCTGGCTCCAGTTTCAGTCCCAGCCTTCTGAGAGTCTCCCATTAGTGCCACAAGGTGTGAATAGCATGAGGATGAAAGGCTTTCCCTATCGGCCTCCCTTTTTATTCTGTTCTGTGCTCATCAAAGAAATGGTGTCTGCAGGAGAAAGGCAGTTTGGGCCTTACTCACATTCTGATTAGATTTTCCGTTCAACTATCTGGTGTGAGGAAGGCCAGCTGGGTTGAAGAACTAGGCTCTGAGACGTTTTATCTCTCACCTACAGGCAGCTGAGGACCTGGTAGGATGGCGTCTCCCTCAGATGTCTTGGAAGAGGAGTTCTGTGCTTGTAAGCTGTGAGCAAGCTTTCTGAGTAGCGTACTCCAGAGAAAAGTTGCTTTCCCAAGCGGCCATGCTGGGGTGGTGCTAGGAGCCTCTAAGAGTGTTTCTGCTTGGGGACATGGAGATGTATTGGGTGGCCCTGTGGTCCGGGTACTTGGCAATCAGATTTAATAGCAGGTATCAGAAGTGCCCGAGGCCAGGTGCCATCTACAAATGGTTACCAGATCCCAAGTGGCCCCTTGGAAACTGTGTCATGTGCCCAACAGCTCCATGTTGTAAGAATAGGATAGAGTGACTACTTACAATAAACCTTGCAGACACTGGTCATTTGGCTTTGGGAAAATAATTTTCTTAAAAAAAATAAAATTACATTTATTTATTGTCTAGTTTTGTATGTCCGTATGTGTGTGAGAGTTGGGGTGTCACGACGTAACATGTATGTGAAGGTCAAAGGACAATTTGTAAGAGCTGGTTTTCCTTTTTTTTCATGTGAGACCTGAGAATTGAGTGCAGGTCATCAGACTTGGCAGCCAACTAGCCCCAAGCCATCTTCTTTACGTTGCTTTCTGCTCCTGTCTGACGCTCCTGCTCAGTGAAATGATGCCATCTTCTGTAGAAGACCTGCCCATGTCTTCAGTGCTTTGGCAATGGCCGAGACACTGCATCCAGAGAGTGGGAAGAGCTATGCTTTCTCTCCAGTGTAATATAACAAACTAGGAATCCAGAGTTTAAATCTCTGTCACAGTAGAGAAAACTTCTATCTAATAGTACAGGAGATGCCTTAAACCAGCAGTTCTCACCTGTGGGTCATGACCCCTTTGGGGTTGCCTAAGACCACCAGTAAACAGAGATATCTACGTTATAATTCATAACAGTAGCAAAATTATAGTTATGAAGTGGGAACAAAACTAATTTTATGGTTGAGGTCACTACAACATGAGGAACTGTATTAAAGGGTTGAACATTAGGAAGGTTGAGAACCACTGCCTTAAATGATCAAATATTTATTTCAACACAAACTAGCATATTTTCATCTCTGGGTATCCATAATGCCAGCTAAAGAATCCGCAGACTAGGCTGGAATGAAACATACTTGGGGAAGGGGAGCCCAAGAGCTTCCAGGAGTCCCTTGGATGTGTGGAGCTACTCTGGCTGGTTGTTGGGACAGCAGGCTTTGTGAACAGGCTCTGGAGCGGGTACCTGAAGCACTGACCTCACTATGTGCATCTGGAAAGCGCGGGGGCTTCTGTGAACATACAGTACCTGAATGTGTGTACAGCCTGAGTACAGCGAGTGTCTGTAGGAAATATTGTAGGCATATGTCTATGTTCTTGTCAATTAGCTAGTAAAGTGTCTTTTATCGCTTCTTCCAGAGGTTTCTGCGTGTGGTGCACATAACCCTCACCAAACACAAGTTCCTCACTCATTCCTCCTTCAAAAGCAGTATCTGTCTGGGCTTCCAATGGAACTGCCTTTTCGATGGTAGACATGGTAATGTGGTAGACAGTCACATGATGAGGATTTGGAATGTCTCTAGTCCCAAGTAGTCCTTGTCACTTCTCAGATGAAGAAGCTGTGAACGGCCAAGTTAGTGACGTGGAGAAACGGCAAGCCAGGCAGGAAAGATGCTGAAGTGGATCTGGTATAGCTGAAGGTGCTCTGTACCAGCTTTTGAAGTGTCACACTGGGCAGGAGAGAGCCTGGCCACATCTCCCATGGTAGCTCCTTGAGGCTTTGGTGGTTTTAAGTACTCAAAGGGAATGAAAAGCATATTCATGTGGGATCCCAAGGGCCAACTGCTGCCCACCCACCGGTCGAGCAGGTCATGGGGTGCCTTTCACAGCTCCATAACAGAACTGGTAAAGAGGACACACTCAGGAGGAACTCTAAGGAGCCCTGTGTCTCCTGGGAGTCACACAAGGGCAAGATGGCATCATTTCTCTAGGACTGAACATGGTTGGCCTTGGCTCTGCTTACCTTAAAGTACTTGTCTAGGATCTCACTGTAGTTACTGCCTTTAGAGAACCAGCCATCTGGAATGATCTCAGCTTCCAGCCACTGGATGATGCGGCGCCGGAGCTCATCACGGTTAGCTTGATAGCAGACAACTGCAGGGAGGAGAGGGATGTGAGGTGGGTGTGAGGAGGAGAAACCTGGAGTCATCAACACCGCCCGCCTGGACCCTCATGCTACTCATTTCCGCAAGTGTCATCCTATTCAGTCTTCAAAGCACCCAGGGAGGGAAGATTATTGCACCAGAGTACAGAAATGTGTCTACTCCAGGAGTCACACTTACACGTGTAAAACACCTATAAAGACTAGGTTGGGGGCTGCATATCAGATACTTACATTACGATTCATAACAGTAGCAAAGTTACAGTTATGAAGTAGCGACAAAAATAATGTTATGGTTGGGGTCACCAAAGCATGAGGAGCTGTATTAAAAAGTCACAGTAATAGAAGAACACTGGACTATAAACTTAAGACAGTGGTGAAACAGAGGAGTTGTATTTAAGAAAAAAAAATAAGGAAGAAAAATAAAGGATGTTTTCATGAATGTTCAGAAACAAGGGAGAAAAACATTCATTAAATAGACTCTCTTGGTTCTGGGATGAGCTGAAAGTATTAACACATCAATAAATGAAAACATTACAGCCATTCGGGTTGCTGGATTGCTGCTCTTCTCCCATCTCACCAACTGAGCCTTTTAAAACTTTCTCCCATCATCCTTTATTATAAACAACAGGAAACGAGGCCAAGAAGGGGCCATGCCTCGGACCTGCTCTGAGCGGCAGCTACAAGCCATGTGGAGCAGCAGGTGGGAATCAAGCGGGTAGAGAGGCAGGGTAGAGACAACTGTGGCCAAAGGAAATTCCTGGAAGACAATATATGCTATGCTGTGAAGTGGATACAGGGCCAGGGAGTAAACATACGTGCCTTTCCCACTCTGCCTTTCCTACTGTGTGATTTAGGGGAAGGGACTTAACTCTCTGAGTCTTTATACCTGAACTGTAAGGTAATTAGATTCACAAGGTTACTGTGAGGTTTGGGACTATGAACCATGTTGAGATTTTAATATGTTTTTAATAGAAAGCTCTGGCAGTCTCAACTATCCCAACTATACTGGGATTTTCAACTATCCTTTTTCAAAAAGTACTGTGTCTTCTGATTTCAATGGTATGAACATGTGATACAAGGCCCCGAGGGAAGGACTCACTGCCTGTCCCTACAATGAGGCCACTAGTCAGCAAAAATGTAGAACAGCCAACATTCAGACCCAAACAGCTCTTTTGACCAGTGGACTCCAAACCAAATGAACATTTTAAAAATGCGGTATCATGGTTTTACTAAGCTATGTTGTGCTTGGACCAGATTGGGATCAAAAGTCCTGACCCACAGATGACCTTGGCAGCTCAAAGGGACCTGTGGAAGAAAAGATGATTCCTCTATGAAAAGTCTCCACCCCTTAAGATGCACACAAACTGCAGAAAGGTCAGGCACTTACCGGGGCTGGCGGATGGACTCACAGACTTCTTTTCTGCAAGGCGAAAGGAGATGTGTAATGCAAGAGAAGAATAAAAGAAAATGTCTGTTTCTAGTAGTAAAACTGTGAAGTCTTGTCATCTTTTTACCTTAAATCAATTCTTCAATCAATCAATCCTTCCTTCCTTCCTTCCTTCCTTCCTTCCTTCCTTCCTTCCTTCCTCTCTCCCTCCCTCCCACCCTCCCTCCCTCCCTTCCTTCCTTCCTTCCCTTTCTTTCTCTTTTTCTTTCCCTCACTCCCTCTCTCTATTCTTTTCCTTCTTTCTTTCTTTCTTTCTTTCTTTCTTTCTTTCTTTCTTTCTTTCTTTCTTTTGATTTCTTTATTTTTATTTTATGTATATGGATGTTTCGCCTGCATGTATGTCTGTGTGCCAGTATGGTTTGCTTGGTTGGAAGAGAGCATCTCATCCCCTAGAATGGTTCCTAGCTGCTGTGTGGTTGCTGGGAACAGAACTCATGTCCTCTGAAAGTGTAGTCAGCATTTTAGCTACTGAGCCATCTCTCCAGTTCCCTGCCTTAAATCCTGAGCTTTTCTTTTTTGTGAGGGTCTAAGGATGGGGATCTTTCCTGCCTGTGGACAAGGGATTGCCCTTCTAGATTTATATTCCTTCCTGCTGGGTTGAGCAGTTGCTGAGGTTTTGAAATTTCACATGGAGACTAATTCTGGACAGGAGTTGGAGAGGAGACTGGTATCTGGGGCAAAGCTTTGTGATTTTCCAGGAAGACAAGGATGGACTGTCTGGGCAGGCTCTAAACTTGGAAAGGTCTGGTGACTATTTACCAATCATGCTTGGAAATCCATTTTTCCAAAACTGGAAAATGGTGAGAGTGTAAAATAAAGGGAAATAAAATATTGCTAGGTTGAGAAATGCCCTAATTTTAAAAGTAGGGTAGGGAGAAATTGACCTATTTTTTTTTTTCTCAAAAGGTACGGAAGTCCTTTAAGGACCTTTTTGCCATTGTGGACTATTGATGTAGTCACCTTACCTACTCTCCAGCTGCAGATAATACTGAAAGCAGGACCAGTTCTGATGCAGGAAACACAGGACAAAGGCCCCAGCCAGCCAGGTCAAACCTAGCAGACTCATGAATGTTAGGAGGGAGCATCTCTAACAAGCGAGGTGGTCTCCCCGCCAGGAGCCTACATTGGACAAACTAATAACTAGTTGGTGATAATCCTGAGATGGGTTCTCCTTGAATTAAAAATTCATGATGGATTTTCTCCAGTAGGCAATGTCCAGGAGAAATTCATTTTAGGAAAGATTCCTGCTATTAATATGCTTTCTTGTTAATATCAACTATAAATAGTAATCACTAATATTAGCCCACCCTTTTGAGCAGATCTCTGCAGAACAACGAAGATATACTGTCTTGCACTGATGCTATATAGACAAATAGATGACTTCATTAAGAATGATCCTATAAGAATTCCTAAAATTATTTCAGTATTTATTAAGCCCTTTTATAGTGGGACTGCTATTAGGTCCTTTCTGATGCCAAAACTGCAATGAGAACTCTGTCAGTCTTCCATGTGTCACAAGTTAATTGCTTCTGAAATAGTAAACAGGCATTCTACTACTCAGACAAAGCACATTCCAAAGGTTGTAAAACCATTAACCAATGGTCATAAAAAGGGAACTAATGATTTATCATAGGTGTTGGGACAGAAGATAAAACATTGACTGGGTTTATCTATACAAAACTTCACTAATAACTTGGTTATGATTTTTAACTCTGAGTGAACCTGTGGAGCTGTGACAGGTGATGGATGTTTAGCCAGATAATTACACCTAATGGGTATGCATGTAAACATTCTCTGTTGTAAACTTCTTATTCAATTTATGATTTGAATTTATGTGTAAACTTGTGATGAACTTTTTACCATGTGCTCATGTATTCTGAAAGAGGTATAGGTGATGAAGACAAAGAGAACATTCCATGTATCCCCTTTTTCATAGACCCTGTACTCCCCTTTTCCTTTAAGCCCCTTTCCCTTTTTAAAGAGAGCTTTCATAGGAAACTTTTTACAACTTAGAAATAAACACTAAAATCACTTTTCAAAGTGTCCTTTTTTCTTCCTGTGACTTCAACAAGCAGGCTGAAAGTTAGAACAGTGCAAGTCCTGCAGAGATAGAACAAAGGCTGTTTTACTTAATCTCCTGCTGTTTTAGGATGAGGTGCTGAATAATTTTTCCCCCTGCCTCAGAAGAACTCAGGAGGCAGGTCAGCTACTGAAGCAAAGTGACTTAGAATTGTGATAGTAAAACATATTATTATACAGCAACCCTAAGTTTCTAGTAAGACTAAGTCTTATCCCTGTCGACACTGGCGAAATGGAGCCTGGCCACACTGTTCTGGTTTCTGTCTCTGTCTTGTCATTGTAAGACCCTGCCATTCAGTGATGACAGTATGCCTTACCTTTGCAGTGTCCGTCATAATCAACCTGGATCTTGGATCCAGTGAGGCAGGCATCTCTATGAAGTTCACAGTGGTTGAGGTAGGTCTTGCCATTACTGCCACACACAGGCCTCTTGTGAGGTTTGCATTGCTGAAACAGACCGGCAGGAGGGTGTTTGTGTAGTCATGGAGACTATATGCACTCACATGAGCACTTACCCAGCCATCTTGTCAGGTGACTACCTGACAAACCACCATAAGAGATGGAGTCTGCATGCTGCCAGAGCCCAGGGAACCCCATTCTGTGACTCTACTGTACTTGATATAGCAGACACTCTACTATCACAAGTTCTCCATTCCCTTCTGTCTATCCTGGTCCAGTGTGAGTACATAAACACCCCACTGTGGCTGAAATAGCTGTATTGCATGGATCCCCCACTGTAATAGTATGAAGAGGCTGTGCTTTCAGGAGGGGATAAAATTACCAGGGCTCCTTCCTCACAGATAGAATTAAGGCTTTTGCAAGAGGTATTCCACAGAGCATTTGTGCCTTCAGCCCTTCTATCCTTTCCTTGTGAGAATACAGTGTTCGAATGTTCACTTGCAAGAAGAGACCAGGCCCTCACCAAACAATAAATGAATTTGCTTTGCTCTTGCACCTCACAGACTCCAAAACTGTGAGAAGTATATGAGTCTATGATTTAGAAAAGTGCCTCGCTCAGGTGTTCCACGCATGGAAACACACACACACACACACACACACACACACACACACACACCGATTCTCTCAGGGCCTAATTACAAGCACTTCTTCTCTGTAGTATTTGCGAGGCATTCAGCTTTTGTCCTAATTTCACAGCCAGTGTTGTAAGGCTGACAGAGAGGGTGAAAGACTACAGAAATCATTATGGACAGAAATATGGAATAAAGTTCATTCAGCTTGTAGGCAAGACTAGGGTGACTCGAGGTATGAAGGGGGAAAAAAAACCAAAAACAGGTGTAAAAAGAACCAGAGTCTCAAGCCAGGAAGTGACTCCGACCTCTCCAAGGCAAGAAAGGTGGACTTCATTTATTCATCGAGCCAGCATTTACTGCTGGTGTTCACCATGTTTTCTGTGCTAGGCAAAACCACCATGGGCTTATCTTTACAGCAACTCCTGGGGATTTGTTTGCTTAGACTCACACAATTACCATGGATAAGGTGAGACTAGAAATCAGATTTTTAGCCTAATTTATGCTACCACATGGTAGCAGACACGCTTCTAATGCAGACCTCCAGGGTGAAGGGATCCTAATAGGACCAGGTTTTAGGTTTCCAGTTGGTAAATTTTCCCTTCAGATGCAATGAATCAGAGTCTAGCCCATTTCCAGGATATGGGGTAGCTTGATAGAAGGGAGAAAAGAAAAGCCTGCGGCCAGTGTATTTACATTCACATTAAGAATGAAAATTTATTAAAGTCTTGCTTATTTCTCAAAGGCTTATTTTGCCTTTCAAATGCCATTTAAAAACAAAACTTCAAAGTTGACATTCTGTCTGATAATTTAAAAATTTGCATATCCTTTGACCCAGCAGACCCCCAGTGGCCATCAATTCTAAGAAATAAAGGGTATTTGTAAAATGATCCTATTGTTGTGGTGGTAAACAACCCAGAGAACCACTTAAATATTCATCTCTAAGGAAATGAATAAATTTACATCTCTAAATATTATGCAGTTGTTTAAAAATGAGCTAAAAAAAAACTAAGTTGATCTGAGTGGCTGCCATGGCCCACCAAAGAATGGAAAGTACAAATTGCATAGGACCAATGTGTGAAAATAGTATTTTGTATAAAATAGGGGAAACTCTTGTGTTTAGAAAAGTTGTTAATGCCAGTTACTTAAGACTAATGAGAACTGAGAGTCATTAGTACAAATGTCTAAATACCTACGCTATTTGACACATAAACAATTGGTAACTTTTTAATTTAAAGAAAAAATTAAAATAGCTCATTTCATGTCTTGCAGTACAGTTTACGTATTAAGTAACACTGCAATGGACTGACTTCACAGAGGTTTAAGTTGAAGGAAGAAGGGAACCATTCACTCTTACAGAGTCTCTTCTCAGAACATTTTTTTTTAAGTCACTTTTTCAAAGTGGGTCACTGTGACAAATATACTTGTGACTAGTCATGGTGACATCTTGTTACATCAGTGGAATTAAAAAGAGCGTTCAACTATCACAACCACCACCTCAAAGAATGGACACGTGTTGGATTTGTATGAAAAGCTAAACAGTTCTTGCTCCTTCAGATGCAGCACAAAAACAATAACCCCAAAACTCAAAAGGTAAAAAGACAGACTTGAAACTGGACAAAACGTTTGATGTAATCCTTTCGTGACTCATGACTCATGGCCCCGTGCCCATCCCTCCTCACCTATGGCCTCATCGTAACACCCTTTCCCCTCTCAGCCTCATTTTACCCTCCCGCACACCTTTCTGTGTTATATGTGCAGTCTAAGATCCACATAGGAGAGAGAACATGTGTTTTGTTTTTCTTTCTGAGTTTGAATCACCTGACTTAATATTATATACCTTCTAGGTCCATCTGTTTTCCTACAAATTTCATTTTTCTTTAAAGCTAAGTAATATTTCTTTTTATATCATTTTTTTTTAAATATTTTATGTGAGTACACTGTCCCTGTCTTCAGTCACACCAGAAGAGGACATTGGATCCCATTACAGATGGTAGTTAGCCACCAGGTGGTTGTTGGGAATTGGACTCAGGACCTCTGGAAGAGCTTTTAACCACTGAGCCATCTCTCCAGCCCTGAATAATATTTTACTGACTATATGTACCACATTTTGACCATCTGTTCATATGCTGATGGACAACCAGACTGGTTCTATTTTCTTTCTAACATCATTTTTTTCTTTTTTCATTTTTCGTATTCATGTGTGTACAAAGGCCAAAGATCCATATGGTGTTGTTCTTGGTATAATTTTCTGAGATACAGTTCTCACTATGTCTGGAGCTCATGATTTGGCTAGAATGGCTGGTCAACGAACTCCATGGATTTACCTCCTCTCCCCCTGTACTGTGGTCACAGACTCCTGCTGCCACACCAGGTCTTACAGATGTGTAAGTCCTGAGGCTCTGATTGCAGCAAGCACATTTCAACTGAGCTAGTTCTCAAACTCCTCCCCCCTCCCCTAAACAGTCACTACCCTCCATGCCTGACATCAGAGCTCACCTCAATGCAGAGGCACGTGGGCTCCCCCTTCTCCGTGACGGCACATTCCCGGCCAGCTCCACAAAACACATTGGCACAGATCTTGGATTTGCTCCTTGGTTCCTCCTAAAACACAGATCAGAAAGGAAGCCACGTTACTAAGATGAGCCCACCACAGGATGGAACAATGGTGGTAATGACCTTTCAGGCTTGGGGCTCCTGTGTGCCAAAAGTTAGCCTCTAACCTTTAGCACAAAACTCACAGGCACTGTTCTGGCTCAGGTTCAGGCACTGAAGATTATTCCTCTAAGAGTAAAGCAAGAGTGACTTTCTTGTATTCTTCTTCATTTTAAAAAAATATGGATTGAGCATTTATGATGAAGCTAGCACTATGCTAAAGGCTAGTGATACACAGGGCAATCTTTGATCTCATGAACTCTGTGACTCTCAGGGAGGAAGTATTTAGAACACATATATGGAAGGCCACAAGGGGTGCTCTGGGGAGCAGGTGTGTATCAAAGAATCAGATGGCACTTTCTGAAGATTCCACGCCTTAACTGACTCTTTAAGGATGAGAAGATTGAGCTAGGAGGAAATGGAAACACTGGAGACACATCCAGACATCTTAACACCAAGGTGTTCACAGCAATACCATCTCAAAGGGCAAAAGGATGGCTAGCAAGTAGATATGCTACTGATATTCAGCCATTGTCTGTGTGTGCCCAGGCTACAATACAAAGAAGACCAAACCCACCCAAAAAAGAGAAGAATGGCCCTCAAGCCTCTTGCTGGTCAGGTTTCCTGTTCAGACAGATGTTACAGAACTGCAGGGAGAGGAAAGTCTGTATGCCACAATTTTGATAGGACTGGTTTGTTGGTGGTACATTCTTTTACTCCCATGTCATTCACCCCTCAGCTCTATGGTAGTGGTGGATAAACAAAGACAGGGATTCCCCTGGGTCCTTTGTTCCACTAGACTGGGTAGGCTGAATCACCAAGGCTTCCAGGCCTAAGACTACTGGGCTGGAGCTGGTTACAAAACAACAAAGACAGAAGAAGCCTAGGAATGACTAGGGTAACGGCAAAGTCCATGTTTCCAGCCCATGCCTACAGTGTATCTAAAGAACTCATACCTACAAGGCTTACTGTAACAGTAAATTTCTTAAACAGGAAGGGGGGAACCAAGAACAGGAGAGAGAGAGAGAGAGAGAGAGAGAGAGAGAGAGAGAGACAGACACACACACACAGACACACAGACACACACACAGACACACAGACACACACACAGACACACACAGACACACACACACACACACACACACACACACACACACACACACACACA